AGCTGGCATGTCCTCCTCCTACTGGGGAGAAGCAGTTCTAATTGCTAATCACATCCTAAACAGGTTGCTGCACTCTAAGTTGTCTATGACACCTTATGAGATATGGCATAAGTGTCCTTGTAGATATGATACTCTTAAGACTTGGGGCTGTGTTGCTTATGTAAGAATACAAGATCTTAAAAGACCTAAAGTGGGACCTAGAACCATTACTTGTGTATATCTAGGTTGTGCGGAAGATAGTGCTGCAAATAAATTTTTAGATCTATCTACTAATACAGTGATAGAATCTAGAGATGCAGAATTTTTCGAGAATAAGTTTCTCAGAGATCATGGCTTGAATGTTTCTGGATCTACAGATATAATTTCAGAGTCTCCTGTAGAATTTGAAGCAAGCTCTTCTGACACTAATTCCCCATAGCTGACTGTTGAACGAGTTCCGGTTAGAGTATCTACAAGAGATAGGGTTCCCAAAAGTTTTGGTGAGGACTTTGTTACTTACCATCTAGAGGATGATCCATTCTCCTATCAGGAAGCAATGAGATCTAGGGAATCCCTACTGTGGGCAGAAGCCATAGATGATGAAATGAGCTCTCTGCTGCAGAACCACACTTGGCAACTAGTCCATTTGCCAAAAGGGGCTAAGGCTATAGGCTCTAAGTGGGTATTGAAGAAGAAACTGAATAGTGATGGATCAATAGCCAGATACAAAGCACGTTTAGTAGCTAAAGGCTATAAACAACTGAGTGGAATAGACTATTTTGATGTCTATTCACCTGTGTGTCATCTATCAACTATAAGAATGCTTCTTGCTTTGGCATTTATTGAACACTTTGTAGTGCATCAAATGGATGTAAAGAGAGCTTTCCTAAATGAAAAGTTAAATGAGGAAATCTACATGGAACAACCGGAAGGGTATGTCATGAAAGGTCTTGAGGACAAAGTTTCTAAATTGAACAAATCTTTGTATGGTCTTAAACAAGCACCTAAGATGTGGCATCTTAAATTTAACAAAGTGGTAAAGAGTTATGGCTTTCAGTCTAGTTATTCAGATAAATGCCTTTACCATCGTCCTATGTCAAATAAGATAGTCATCATTTGCGTGTATGTTGATGACATGTTAATTCTTGGTTCCGATCATTCTGTAGTGAGTGACGTGAAAGCTACTTTAGCTAAAGAACTTGACATGAAAGATCTTGGTATTGCTAATACAATTCTTGGTACGAAAGTAAGCTTTGAAAGGCAAGTCATCTCCCTTAGCCAGACTCATTATATGGAGCAACTACTTTCTACCTGGGGATACAGTGAGTGTAAACCAAGTGCGACACCATGTGGTTATAATAAAAGACTGAGTCCTAATGAAGGGACCAGCGTCGATCAGTTAAAGTACTCGAAACTGATTGGTAGTCTCATGTATGCTATGAGTTGCACTAGACCTGACATAGCCTTTACAGTTGGCATGCTGAGTCGTTTCACTAGTAATCCTAGTAAAGAGCATTGGGATGCCATCAGTAGGCTGATGAGATACCTTAAAGGTACTAAAGATTATGCTCTATGTTATTCTGGTTATCCTCCAACTGTGGATGGATATTCTGATGCCTCATGGTGCTCAGAAATTGGAAATAGTAAGTCCACTAGTGGATATGTATTCACTTTGGGTGGAGCTGCTATTACTTGGAAATCCAAAAGACAAGACTTGCATTGCATTGTCGTCTATGGAATCGAACTTTTTTCTTTAGCCTCAGCCGGCGAAGAGGCAGAGTGGATAAAGAATCTGATTATGGATATTCCTTTGACTCAGCTAAAGATTAATTCTTTAAACTTGTTTTGTGATAACCAAGCCGCTGTCCAAGTCGTCAAGAATCCTCTCTTTAATTCCAAGAGAAAGCATGTGAGACTGAGACATGCGTTGTTGAATTATCTGCACGAACAAGGAGTTATCACCTTGCTCGATGTGCGATCGACGGATAACATGGCCGATGCTCTCACGAAGGGTATGCCTACAGATCGATTATTCAAAACAATGGGGGAAATGGGGTTAAAGACTATGTAGATACGTCTTAATTACCATTTACTTACCTTCTAATTGTATGTTTTGCATTATCGAATCTTCCTTTGTTGGCCACAATGATAAGCACAGTTTATGTGTTTCATCGATGTTCATGGTTGCTGATTAATTTGAAAAGGGTGAGTTGTCTTATTCCAAACTTGATGAAGATGACGTTAACCTAATTCAAAGGTTCTATCTGGGGAGCTTGTGTCATTCCAAACTTGATGATACAATCCAACTAGGTTGGACTATCCTTTTGGTTAAATGATCTCATTCCAAACTTGATGCTAGATTATTTGACTTTAAGGAATTAGTAATTGTGACATTCCAAATTGAAATATAGAGCTAGTTGTTTGCATAAGAAGCCTGTTGGTTATTGTAAGTGACATGACTATTGGTCCTGTTCTTTGAAACTAGATAATGGTTATTCACTTACAAATAAACCGAAGTTGATGGCTCTTTGTAATTCAAACTGTTTAGGCCTTGTTCATAATTTATGAAACTGGTTTGATGCTTATGAACATGATATTACGATGCTTTATGACATTAATATATGCTCTTCTCTGCCTGATTGAATTCATAATAATATGAAATTCATATTTGACATTCTACAGGGGATGGCAGAGATGGAGGAGAGCTTACTAGGTGGGATCCTGACCAAGATGATCTACTAGATGAATGAATATATCATTTAGAGTATGTAGAGACTTGACAAGTCATCTGCTATTGCCCATTTTGATGGAGTCCATTTACTTGAGACTTCCATTTTGCTATCTCTATTTTGTGAACATTATTGTGCTTGATTCTTGTATTTATAAGGCTTTGGATTATTTTGGATGGCCTATTTATAATTGACTGTTATGCATATGTTGGTTGTGAACTGATTCTAAGATTTATTTTGGGATTTGGATGAGTTTAGACTGAATCTGAAACTCTTCATATTTAATTTTATGTGCTGATCTCAGAACAGATTTATGATAAGGATGATTCACTTATTTAGATTGCAAATTATGATTGAGTTTAATATTTAGTGCTAAAACTCTTTGACCGATCCAAGTTGATTGTCTTGGACTGAATGTGGATGATTCATATTTGTTTGAACATTACACTGACCACCGTATTGAATTGTGTTGTATGGTGAACATAGGAGGAGATTATTGGATATATTATTAATATAGTCCAAATAATATGTTCACATGCAAGCCCAATAGGTTTAAAGCATGATTATTTTGGCTATATGGTCGGAGCCCAATAGACACATATAAACTCCGGGGTTTCCTACTGCGGGAATACACTGTTGAGCGTTCCAAACTTGACGTCTCTTGGTGTAATACTTCAAGCAAAACACTATTTACTCTCTCAGACCCATAACCGTCAACAACAATTGTGCATTTGAGTCAATCTCAATGCGGTCTTATTAGTTGAAGTCCGTCTGCTTCGTCGTTCAGGAGCTGCAATCCACTTCATTCATGCACCTGGCCAAGTCCAAGGTCAAAGAGATGCTGGCTATTCTCAAGTACTTAGAGATTTCGCATATTAACGTTGGATGGTTGCGAAAGATGCTCGATGACATCTCAATGGTCAATGAGGTGATTACTCAGCATCAGACAGTCAAGGCAGCAAAGACCAAGTGTGACTAAGGCCACGAGTCTATGAAGAATTTGCTAGAGTTCCACACCAAAGATCTGACCGAGAAAGAAGCCGGGCTTGCTGAAGCAAAGTCAAAACTAGCTGAAACCAGAAACCGCATGCATGAGCTCGAGGTCGAGTCCTTCAAGTTGCACAAATCCGCCTTGTCCGTGAGCTCCCAAGTCGACAGCTACCATTTTAAGTCATAGTTGGAGGAACTCCTATGAGCCTGCAGATTCTGCGACTAGCCGACTCCCTGGAATGTTATGTACAATGAGCCGTATAAAACTACTTGGGAATTGGGGTATAGGTTAAACTTTTAATCTTCTGATTCTTTTTCTTCATACTAATGCCGCAAAATATACAACATCATTGTACTTAAACCAACGTTTCCTTTCTGGTTTTGTACTGTTTTGTTCATTCGGTTAGTGCCGTATGATCAAGTGTATTCATATATATCCCTCTTCTTTTGCACTCACTCTCTCTTTGGTTCATTCCATTCCGATCGCCTTCCTTTCCTTCCATGTGGTTCTCAATCTGCGAAATGAAGGATGCCCTCACATGCTATGCGGGATTGTCAGATTACTTGATTAACGTTCTGCTCATGGTTGTGGTGCATCAGAGTGCAAAAGAAAAATGGATCAGTCAAATTCAGTGTGTTAATTTGCATGAGGTGCTAAACAGATTCAGCAGCTGAATCTCATTGGTGCTTCTAAAATTGGGGAACAGGTTGATAATGGGAAAATCTCCCCATGATGGATTTTCTCCAGCACTCTTGATTTTGATTGAAACGGGATACGAATAACAATGATGTGATAATACGACGATTAACATTAATCACAGATTTTCGTTAACGTTAATACAAGATGTTTTGCAAAAAGTACGCAAAATTTTATGCATATGTTGATGTTATATCATTTTACAATATTGAGCTACTGAATGAAATTTGAATACGTAAATTTTGAACGGATCTGCAATTAGTGGGGTTTAATGTTAATCGCAGAATGATAACAGAGTTTCCGTATATTTTTGGTCAAAGAAAAACAAAAAATGCCCAACTTTTTTTTCACTAAAAAATACAATAATTTGCAACGCTTATCTTAAACTTACAAGGAAAAAAGGCCACAAAATCCCCAATTATGTTCACTGATATAAAAAAAACCTCAAACTATACCTATTATTTATCATGAACTTTTTTTATGATATAAAGTATTTTAAATTTATACGTATCTAACACATTTATCTTTCGTTAAAGTCCGTTATATATTTTTGTTGGTTTGCCCAAACTTAAAACGTTAAAAACAGAGCCCAAACACGAGAGGTGGTCTTCCTCTTCCGTCAGCTAGGGCTTCGAATCACTTTCTTCCAACCCTTCTTCTCTCGCTTTCGACATCGGAATCGCCGGTACAGCGCCTCACCCGGCGACCCAGATCGGCGGCGATCGAGGTCTGACGGAGCGATTTTGGTAGCCCCGCGAGCCTTGCCCTGGAGGGAGTTCGACAGGAGCCCGGGAGCATGTCTGAGGAGAGGAGGGTCCACCCGGACTGCAGGAACGCGCCGAATCCGTACCATGAATGCAGCGAATATTGCTTCGGAATCATCGCTGAGGCCAAAGCTCGCGATAGGAGGGATTCGGGTAGGTGTTCTCCGTATGTGCTTCTGAGTTTTCCGCCGTACCCAGTAGCTCACTGTCAATCACTCTTCTTTTTGAGCTTGTATCGAATTGAAATCCATCAAGGTGCAATCTTTGCTGATGGGGTTGTGCAGTTACACATAGGGTTTTGTCTCTTTGGAGAATTTAGGCGGAGGTGTCGTGTTTTGTGATCAATTGGGCAATGGAAAGTTTCCGCGTCTTCTGTTCCTTGAATAGCGAATTGTTCTAGCCCTGTCGCATGTAATTATGTCCATGTCGATTCTGTTTTGTATACTTTTTCGCTAGGGACTGCGGGATTGATCATGCTTTCGTTCTAGTGATTCCGGTTTTGAGTTCCTGCAACTTTCAGGGTCGTTTTCGATTCCTTCAGTGATATCGAACCGAGTCTATTTGATTGCAGAAGTAGCGGAAGCTAGCACAGAGGGCAGCCGATCCAAGCTACCTTATCATGAGGTTGCAGCTTCGCGTGATGAGACTGATGATGCTGAAGAACCTGCTGACGATGATTACAAACCACCGGCTGAGGAAAATTTGGAAGGGGACATCACTAAACTTACAGGAAGGAAGAAGAAATTGTTTGAGTTAAGGCTTAAGATGGTGTGTGATTTAACTTGAACCAAAAGCCAATCTCTTTTCCAACATAAATGATTTAAGTTTTGTTGGTTTTATTTTTCAGTATCGCACTCTAACGAAATCAATAGCCTCTCTTATGTCTTTCTTTTGTTTGGTAGAATGAGGCGAGGAAGGCTAATCAAACTGCAATGGTGGCTGAAAATAAAAGGTTGGAAGCTCCAACTGAGTCGAGGGGTATCTCTAAGCAAAAGTGGCTTGAGGATAGGAAGAAAAAGATTGGGAAACTTCTCGATGCTAATGGTCTTGATATGTCAAAGGCATATATGCTTGATACGCAGGAGATGGCTGAGACTAAATATAAGAAATGGGAAAAGGATCCTGCTCCTTACGGTTGGGATGGTAGGTATTCAATTTGCCGATGAACCTGTTATGTTTGTGCTTCTCTTTTGTTTATCGCATGCATGTCTTTGTAACATGCTAGTTTTCATCCTACATACTCTAGTAGCTTCCTTCTTCTTTTTTCCTTTTTTTTTTTGTTGTTATCGAGCCATGTGCTGGTTGCTTGGTGAAATTTGATGTATGCAGTACTAATAAGAGTGGATGATGTGCTGCATTTCCTTTTTCCCTATGAGTTGTGGTTGAAGCACGGAACTTTGTTTTACCTGCGTTTGCATGAAATGTCATCAGAGTTGGTTTTTTTACCTAGAGCATTTAGACTTGGTCATTCGTCCTGATTCAAGGGATCGTCACTGAAAAACAAAAAGCAAAATGGAGCATTTTTATTATAGAGAGACATGTGTCCTAGCTAGATATGACGTATTTGTTCTTAAAGGACTAATGCAGTTTCTATGACAGTTTTCAACCAGAAGACTCTGTATGATGCATACCAGAAGCGCACAAAGAATATAGATATTGACTTAGACGAATATAACAAAATGAAAGAAGCTGATCCCGAGTTCTATCGTGAAGCTTCAAGTCTTCAATATGGCAAGGTAATGTTTCATCGAGGATGATCATCGCCTTTTTTTCCCCGCCGCTGCTTATGTGCTCATTTGAAGTTTGATTAGCTCATGTTACCTTATTGTGCAGGCACCTAAGGTTTCCGAGGATAAGATTGACAAAATGGTACAGGAACTCAAAGATCGGGATGAAAAGCGCAATTCCTTTAGTAGGAGGAGGAGGTTCCGTGACGAGAAAGATGTCGACTCTATCAATGACCGCAATGAGCACTTCAACAAGAAGATTGAACGTGCCTTTGGTAAATACACTCTTGAGATTAAAAACAACCTTGAGCGAGGAACTGCTTTGCCTGACTGAGAGGTACTTGATGGTGGTTGCCTTGGATTTTCTCCTGGATCTTATTCCTAGTGGCAAAAGTGCACTGAATCGAAGCAAAGAACTTCTGCTGCTTTTCTCTGCTATTGCAGTCATAAATTGTAGGATTATCTGGTGTAAAAGATTCATTTGTAGATTACTTTGACTGCAGCTTGCCGTGAATGGTACGTAGGTTCTGTTCATATGATACAAAAAAGTTGCTCATGCGGGCCGGGATTCATTCTGTATATTTATTTGCGCAGCAACTTGACAGGCGGGGGGTGCTTTTACATCTGAATGGAACTTGGAAATCCCTTAGGTTTTCTCGGTAGGTAGTGCGCCTGATGTTGGATTTTGAGTTTAAGGCCCATCTTTTGAAATGTGATAATAGAACATAAGCAGAGTGATTTGGAACGTTGGTGAATGAATCCACATGCCTTGGTGGGTATGAAATAGAGTTACATGTCTGAATTACTCAAGAGGTTCTCAGACTGGTTTTCGAAAGTGTGGTCTAGTAGTACTTAGGCAAATTATGATGGGCTAGTTGAGCAAGAAGACAATAGTCAAGCATCCAACCAGAATCTGTGTTCTGTCACAAATCATTTTTGTGAATCAATCTTAGTATCTCTAATGTGACTCGTATAGGCGTAAGTCCCAAAGTTTCAGCATAGTGAATAGGTGGCTGATCTTTGTCTTTGCAATGGCATGTGAAAGAAATGCTCGGGTCCAGATCTTTTGAAGTAATCGAGTACGAAAGTTACGGGGTGAAAGCATTTCAACTCAGTTGATTTACTGGGTCTGGAATTTTGAAAGTGGAGCCAATTTGAGGTGATATTTGAATACAGATCTTTGAAATGAAGTCGACGAATTGGGAAGGATTCATCGCTGCCGGTGATCCAAAGAGTTACCAAATCGGGGAAAACGAACAAAGTTCTTTTCCGGTGTAGGGATGGGATTCACGTGGTGGATAGGGAATTATTGGCTTAAAGGGTTGGTGCTAGCCCTTTGGATCGTCTCTTCTTCTTCATTTACCAACGTGTGCGTGGTTGTGTGTGTGGAAGTGAAACAAATCATACAGAACCGAATGAGCCTGTGTGGTTGTTCGACCCAAATATACACTGCCTCTCCCTTGTTACCGGACGGCCCCACTAGGGGTGTGCAACTGGACCAATTCTACCCAGAAACTGGACCGAACTGCTCGAAAAATAGGTCCGGGAATCGGATCCTGTTAAAAACGGTCCAGGAACCTGTTCCAGGTGAAACCCATTCAGGAACCAAACCGGATCGCCTTGTTTTGGAACTGGTTTTATAAGCTAAAAGAAAATAAAAAGAAAAAAGAAAACTCTAATCAGCAAGAAAAGCTCAGATCAATTACAATAGATCTCTACTTGTTTACTCAGAAATCCATTAATTTAGTTGAGCCCCTTATTTCCGTTAGAATATGAACTTGGATTCTGAAATTGATCTAAAAAAAGTTGAAACAACAGTAGAGTTCGGATTCTAGTGTGAAGAGAAGAAATAGAAGAGAAGAAAATCTCGATGACAGATTCTCCGTGTAAGCGTCCGCATGGATGAGACGAGTTGTTTTTTCAAGTGTGTGGGTTTCCTTTATTGTAAGTAATTTTTTGTTTTTTCGATAACAAAACATGTGAATATGAAAAATGAATTTCCATCGATCTAAACAAAACCTTAATAGGAATTTAGCTCGGAGACGCAAGGAGCACTTGGAGAAGAGGAAAGGACAAATCTTGTTATTCCAAGAATATGCGATATTTGGATTATACTTTGAAAATGCAAGATTCCGTATTTAACATAGGTAATACTTTCCTAGAGAAACTAAAAAAAATTAGTTTTCAGGTAGACTCTCAAACCGGACTGAAAAAATAGGATAGGTTCCAAAACCGAATCCAGAAAAACATGATACTTTCCATGATCCAAAAACTGAGAATCGGTTATAACAGGACTTGAAATCTACTCAGCTTGAAACCGATCTCCCCAAAGCCCATTGCATCAGAAACTCGAATGCTTTGCCGAACAAAGACTCTTTCAGGCACGGAGATCTCTCTCTCTCTCTCGCTGGAGAGGTCACAATTTTGAGTCTAAGGCTTAGGACGATTTGGCCCCTCGATGAGCAAAGAAAGGGCCTCTTTTTACCCACATGGTGGTGGTGGTCATGACTGGTAGGTGGTAAACTTTGTTAAAAGAGGGGAAAAGAGACCCCTTTTCACCATTTTCCTTCAACCTCTTCATGCCACTGACCCCGAAGAACACAAAAGCAAAAAAGAGAAAAAGACGTTTTACAGGTACAAAAAGTGAAGTCACTCTCTCTCTCTCTCTTCTTCTGGCCCTCCTCCCCTCTTTGGGCAGTGCACACTCTGCAGGGGGGCAACCCCAAGGAGGGGAGGGGGAAGGGGGGGACCACCAACCCATGTGATGAAATGGCCTGCGACCCCTCTCGTGAGTGAGTGGAGAACGCGTAGTACATGGGTTGCTGCTGGCAGCTCATCGGATCCCCCCACGCCCCCCTTTTTCTTGTTTTAAGGTCTTTGTCTACCTTGACGTCCTATTGGCCGGATGGAGGGTTTGAGTCTCCCAAAGTAAGACCGACTCAAGCACTTTGTCGTTTCACCTCTTGTGACCCTGGCTTTCTTTCCAAAGATCAGTAGTAATTCAGCCCCATAATGTTTCATAATCTGGAGAGACAGAGACGCCAACTCAAAACCTCAGGTCCTCAACAGTATACTTATCAGTACCAAGTGTGTTTCCTAGAGACACATGGCTTGTCCATCCTCCTGTTGATCACGCGTGGTCCTAGTCCAATTCTAGTTATACCGAATGTCCGCTCATCGTTAGGGTCTTGGTTGAAGGAGTTCAGTCCCCCTACAGTCTACACACTTTGTCGTTTCACCTCGTCACCCTGGCTTTCTTTCCAAAGATCAGTAGCAATTCAGCCCTATAATGTTTCATAATCTGAAGAGACAAAGACGCCAACTCAAAACCTCAACAGTATACTTATCAGTACCAGGTGTGTTTCCTACATGGCTTGTCCATCCTCCTGTTGATCACGCGTGTTCCTAGTCCAATTCTAGTTATACTGAATGTCCGCTCATCGTTAGGGTCTTGGTTGAAGGAGTTAAGTCCCCCTACAGTCTACACACTTTGATTAGGGTTGGGTGGCGTGTCGTTTCTGTGGATTATTTGTCGGGTTGGTTTTCAGAGGAGTGTGCGCAATCATAAGGGAGGAGATAGAATACGAAAGAAAAGAAGGGAACACTTCCACCACTAATCACGAACAATAATAACAGCAGCAATAATAATGATACAAGGTCCAAATTCTACCCACCCACAGATAACGAAGCATCAATAAATTAAGAGGGGGTCCATCATCACCACCATCACCATCCATCATCATAGTGTTCTCTCTCTTTCACACAAACAAACAAATGGGATAAAATTTTAAAAAAAATATTAGTTGGTGGGGTTGCTGCGGAAGGATCCGAGAGCCTTGATGGCAGCTGCTCTGAGAATGTACTGGTGGTATGCTGCTGCTGCTAATGCCCCCACAAATGGTCCAACCCAGAAGATCCACTGATCATGAACATCCAAATCCACAAACATCAATTACTACTAGCCTAAAATCATTATCACTGCGCAATAACATCAAAATCCAAATGCGCACATATCATCTTTGAATATATAGGGTCATTAAACCAGCAGATCCAAAGTTCTGGCTGCCATAAATGCAAATAATTCACATGTTTTTTTGCCTATCTCATAACGTGTTATTCGTGTAGTAAAGCCGGGTTTACAAATAGAGAGGCTATACCTGGTCGTCCCAAATTTTTTTGTTGTTGAAGATAACCGCGGCACCAAAGCTCCTGGCCGGGTTGATGCCGGTGCCAGTGATGGGGATGGTGGCCAAGTGAACCATGAACACCGCAAAACCAATGGGCAGTGGAGCCAAAACCTACAAACCCAACACAAACCCATCTCATCAGAAAAGTAACTTCATTTGTCAAACGAACAGGTACTCCGTTTGCACTGGGGAAGGAAGAGCATGGTCATTAGTAGTAGCAGCAGCTAGTGAGCAGTACATACGGGCACGTGAGAGTCACGAGCACTCCTCTTCGGGTCAGTGGCCGAGAACACGGTGTAAACCAGCACGAAAGTGCCGATGATCTCAGCTCCCAGAGCCGTGCCCGTGCTGTAGCCCGAAGCCACCGAGTTGGCACCACCTCCGAGCGTGTTGTAGTAGGGCTTCATGAATGCCTTCACCAACCCTACACCACAGATCGCGCCCAAGCACTGGGCGCTCATGTACGAAACTGCCCTGATCAAGCTCACCTTCCTTGCCAAAAATAGCCCGAATGTCACCGCCGGGTTAATGTGGCCACCTGCGTTGAAACAACAAAAACATTACAGAAAACACATAAAACCCTTGAAGACCCATCAACGTAAAAATGCGAACCGTCATGAGTTCTAGAGCTGATCACTTAAAGGAACGAACTTTAAGAACTAGAGCATGAAATTGAGAGAAGGGTTGTGAACATGAGACCACTACAAATGAAACAGAAAGAAAGTCTCAAACCCTATCAACAAAAGATGCAAACTTCTTGAGCGGTTATTCACAAAAAAGGAGCGAACTTTGAGGATCAGAGCACGAAAAAACCAGAGAGACTGAACGTGGGAGAGCCGTAGAACGTACCAGATATGCCGGCGGTGCAGTAAACGAGGATGAAGATCATGCCGCCAAAGGCCCAGGCGATGCCGAGGAGGCCGACGCCGTCGCAGGGCCCGGACTGCTTCTTGTGGCCGATGACGGTGGCGACGGTGATGTAGAGGAAGAGGAGGGTGGCGATGAACTCCGCAATGAGGGCCCTGTAGAAGGACCAGAGCTTGACCTCGGCCATGTCGAGGAGAGGAGCAGGTGGGGGGTCCACATAGTCCTTCCGGGTCTGCCCTTCCTCGCTCACTTCCTTCGACATCTTCTCCGCTCTCTCGGTTAACAGCAACAGCAACAGCAGCAGCACCAACAACAACAACAAGAGCTGCTCTGGTCTCTAGGCTTTTCTGCAGCTGGGTGAGGTCTGTCTTAGCTGTGAGGTTGGGGGTGACACCTAGGGACTGTCCTTTTTAAAGGGCGAGGAAGAAGAAGGTGCGGGGGTGGAGATGGCGGATTACGTGGACAAAGAGAGGGGTAGTTTCGGAACGGAGGAGGCTTTTCATTTCTTCCAAGTGTTATTATTGCTTAAGAAAAGAAGGAAAAAGAGGGGGTACCAAACCTACCAATAATTTGAAGAATTGCAAAAACAAAAAGCGAGAATAATGGTCAATTACAATTTCCCTCTCTACCAATTACGAAAAACCAACTCTCATTTCATTCCTAAACATTCAATCGGTTATCACATGATATCAGTACGGCAAGAAGAGAGTATCCCATTGTGTATGTACGATTTCTCAACCGGTTACTGTATATTTAGTTCCGAGATTTTTTTTGTTTTTATCACGGGCGGCCAAACGGAATTTCAATCGATTATAATCCTAATTATTCTATCCACCCCATTATCATCACATGTCGCCGTACATATGATTGATCACGTGGGAGTCTTTAACTTTACTTGCTACTGCAGAAACAGTGATTAAGGAGAGGGAAAGGGGCACAGCCAGCGAGACCATGTGGGAGGATCCAATCAATCATCGGGTCGGCCCGGATGATGAGAGTCGACTGGATCGGTCAGCCTGGCAATGTTGTGTTGTAACCCACAAACCCACGCCCCCCCAAAAAGCTCCCCAACGGTTATGTGTTGTCTTCTTTTGTTTTCTGTCCTTGTTTTGTTTAGGTGGGGGATTTGTTCAATCTTTCTGTGCAACGTTCGAAAGATTTCGGCGCTGTCCGCCAATTCCGGATATCATCATATAAAATATTTTTGATTTGAAATGATACGCTGATATATTAACGCAGTAGGTCGTGTTGTAACACTTGACATGCTTTGGATCAACATGGTATCCGAGTCAGATTCTGTCCCGATTTTATTATGCATGTGCGTCCGCCTCGTTCGTCATATTTCACGTGAGGTTTACACTTGAAAGAGGAGAGGATATTGAAACGAGTTCATATGCTCTTTATATATATGCGGCATCAGGGCTAGGTTTCGGCCCGGTTTATTTCGGGTATGTATCCGTTCCGTTAGTCGAATCTCACGTGTCATTTCTAATCCGGCAAATTTCTCTATGCCCGAAACATTAAATCGCGCCGAAATTGGAATTATCAGTTACTTTGTCCGACAAAGTGTTTGTACCTATATTTAGAAAATTTGAGTGGTGATGAAGGAATGCAATTTCTTGGTAATGCGGACTCGAAGGACGAAGTGTTAGCGTTTGAATAAAGTGAATTTAAGGTGTCAACTTTAATGAAATAATTTTAGTGGGGTACTTATGTTAGGGGGCCGAGGAAATAATTTCAAGTGGTAACGGTAGGAAGAATGTGTACATAACTTTCCATCATCGACAAAATTAAAATGCTACGTCCTGTGCATATCGTGATTTATGAAAGCATTTTTGCTTTTTGGTGGGTGGGGACATTGGAGTTCCTTTTGAGTTGTTGAGAAGAATCAAATCACCGTTAAACATGTCTTTTAGCCGGGGGACTTTCTTTGATTGCTTGTTTTCACGGGTAATTGCGAAAATCAATATATATCGGCTTTGCTCTCCATATCAAACACTTTTTTTTTTTTATATATTTCAAAACCTATCATTATCGTCTTTTTGATCCGAGAAAGACCCCGTTGCACTTGTGTATATCAAAAATCTATATTGAAACCCCTCTCCTGCTCTCTTCCCCCGCCCTTTCTCTCATCCTCACATATAGCGGCACGGCGCAACAACCATCTAGAGACATCGCCATAGCCCAATCCCGATGCCAACATCCTTTTCTTTGTTTGCGGAGGAGGGATCCTTCGCAACTCGCGACGGTGAGGCGACGCTAGCTTCGCCACGAGCCTGTGGCTCTGCCAAGGCCGCGTGAGGTTTGGCCTTGAGCCCGTGAGTGCCGCCAACATAATTCGACCCCTCTGCCACAAGCTTTGCAAGCCCCCTTAAGCCCCTATAGCAAAGCTCGCCCATAACTGTGGCCTTAAGGCCGGCACTATCGCGACGGCTCCCAAAAAAAGAGCAACGGCGGCGTGCGTAATGAGTAGGGTAGTTTGGGAAATATAAAATGGTGATTCATAAATTATACGTGGGCGAGAATGCAACTTTAAAATATATTAAAAATAACTAGGGATGGTAATTTTAGGTTTCGAATTGCGAATAGGGCATTTAATATGAAAAATTAAGTTAAAAAAACTGTTTTTTTAGTTTCCTTCAATTCTTATCCGTCAACGATTCTCTCTTTTTTTTTTCTTTTTTTTTTTTTTCATTCATCGAAATGAAAAGGAGCAGCTCGATTCCACGTCGAGAACGTGAGGGACATTCTCTGAAACGGGGATTTTTCTTACCTTCTTCTTCTGATCATTATTATTATCGTCATCATCATTATTATTATAATTATCCATTATTTATAAAGTTAAGGTGGTTAATGTTTGTCTTGATTTTTATATAGTGGGGGTTTAGGGTGACGAGGTAAAAACACGACAATGCATGCGGGCAAAGGAGTCTTGTCAGCAATCACGTGGGTGCCAGCTGGCAAGTAATCCCGGTTTCCGATGCACAGGCAGGCACATTCCGGTGGTCCCACTTTTGCCTCACGCCCCCCTCCGTTGTTGGATAGATATGCAAGTCCCACCTCACCCCTTCTTTTTCCTAATTTTACATTTTTCTCCCCCAAGGACTTCTCTCGTTTTCTTCTGGATTAATACAAAAAAAAAAACACCCGAGCTATGCCCGCACAAATACACCAAACTGTTTTTTTTTTTCGTAGCAATCGAAAATCCTAAGCTTACCCCGAACCTTTGAGGTATTGAAATAAGGGCATAAAAAACCATGAACTAATATAAGAGCATATATATATCGTACATGTATAGGTTTGAATTTTTTCGCGACACAAAAAAAGTTTAAGGTATTTTTGTCACGGTAGGTAAGATTGGGATTTTTGGTGCCAAAAAAAAAATGTTGGATATTTGTGTCATAATGGACATAGTTTGAGTTTTTTTTTGTGGTATTTGACGTTTTCTTTTTAAATATCTTTTCAATATAAATTGCTAACCCAAGTATGTAATGTGAGTGCCCATTAGAAGAAAGATTATGCTTTTTTATCGTGCCATAGAGAACATAATGAAGAAGTTCCCGTTATTCATCCGAAACTCGAAACATATTAGATGGCGATCGAGTAGATGCTAATCGACATAAGATATATACTGTTTCGTAGCATTTGAGGGTCGCGATTCCCCGTTGTCTAGCCTAGGGGTGATCGGTTCCAGGGTGGGTTGGGTCCAGACCTGGAACCTGAAACCAACCCTATTATAATCGGTTCCTAATTTTTGGAACCTGAAACCGACCCTGTTTTCCTTGGACCCTGTTTTGGAACCGACCCTGTTTTTTCGGTCCGGTTTCAAGGTCTACCCAAGAACCTGTTTTTTTTTTGTTCCTTTTTCTGGTTTCATTTTTTTCTAGCAAAATAATATATGTAGCAATGAAACGATTCAAAATAAAAGATGAATAATAAAACCACTATTTGCCAAAAGTAATAATCCCCAAAATGGGCAATTGAAATTACAATCCATGAAAATTACAATCCAAAAGTACTATGTGGCAAGACATAGTCCAATCGCATAAATCTTTAAGAGTCACATTTCTAGGAATCTGTTCAACATGTTTAGCTCTTTATTTTGCGCCATGATGAGAGCTCCTCACTTCTGTTTCCAAAAATCCGAAGGCTCCGATCCACACATCAGAATCTGATAAACAATTGTCCCATGCCAAAAAGCTCCAGCATCCTTCCCTGCCTTACGAGAGGACAAAAAGCTCCAACTGAAGTAATGAATATACAAAGTAGTGATTAGGATTTGGGATCTTGGTGATTGCCCCACTTGAGGGAGAGTTATAGGTTTGCTGTCTTTTTCTTTTTGACTAAAATGGGACTAACACCAGGACATATATCTAAATATATGCACTGACCTTTTGGAGGTGGCCTGAATCCAGCCGTGTTACCAATGGATAGAAACCTCATGGTCCAGCCAAGAACAGAAGTAATGACCATACCCTAAAATCAAGATGAGAAAAGGCCAAGGAGATACTTGTACCAACATATTTGAAGCTTTTCATGCGTTTTTAACTACAGATATGAATTCCAGAGAGTTTCAGACTTAGCCACAACAAATTCAATCCATGCATTAGAGATCAGAACCTGATATAATCAAACACAACACAACAAAGGGGGTTGATTTCAGCAACCAATCGGGTTTGGGTCAGCATCACATGGTCGATCTGTGAGCTTTTGAGCATACAAAGAACAAAATGCAGAGACAAAATATTTCTTGCCATAATTAACCATCTCACTGAAAGTCATTACTATGTGAACACACCCAGTTCTTGGACCTAATCTTTACCACAAAAAAGAAACTGTAGAGCTCAGTCGGACTAATCGAGCAAGAAGCAACAACAAGCACTAGAATTCCATGTCACAATCAGTAAACCAACCGCAGCAAATCAAGAATTGACCAAATTGAAGGAAAAGAGGGAACACAAATGCCAACATGAGCACACAGAGACGCGCGCGCACTAACACCACGAAGCTAATCCCACAAACCAACTACAACAATTCTAAAAATTTGAGAGAAGCTTTCACTGATCTAAACTCTAAAGCGGGCGATCTTGCATGAATGATCCAACGGATGACGGCAAGATCATAATAACCAGTTTCGAGTATAATGAGCTTGCAACATATAGAGTTTCGAGTTGAGGCCAACCACTGAAGTCAGGTACGCAACCAACGCTTACATTTTTCCATTAAACAAACTCAGAAGTCCAAGAAGCAAGAGATAAAAGTTTAAAAAAACAAAAAACTCAGACAAGCCGGATTCCGCAAGATCAGATGGCGTCTATTCCTTCAAGTCCTTCACTGATCATCAAAACTTAGAGAATCTTCTACACCAACCCAAGCCCGCGGCGAAAAACCCCTAAAACTCGAACGCAAAACCTCAAACTCAAACACTTCCCCAACACTAGAACCCTAAAACTCGAACGCAAAACCTCAAACTCGAACTCGAACACTTCCCCAACACTAGAACAGATCTAAAGCTCGAGCTCGAAACCATCCGACCTTGCAACAAAGACGAAGAAGAGAGACTGAGGGAACGGAGGACTCACTGGATCGCAAGAGCCGGATGGGTGAAGTGAACGAGGAGCCTCCTCGCTGCGTAATTGCGTTCTTGCGGCGACGGCCAAGAGAGAACTCGAGACAAAGAGAGAACCGAGACAGAGGAGCGGCGAAGAGAGAACCGAGACAGTGATTGTGAATAGTGATCTAGATCTAGGGTTTTTTTGTTTTTTTTTTATATTATCTTAAAACCGATTCTAAAACCGATCAGGGTCGATTTTTCACTGAATCGAAACCGGGACGGTTCTAACCGGTTCCAAAAAATGGAACTCTGGTTCCGGACCGGTTTTAACTTGAACCGGCTTCCGGACCGTTTTTGGTGGGCCTGTCCGGTTTCCCGGTAAACCCGATCCGGTTGCACACCCCTAGTCTAGCCAGTGTAAACGATGTGATTTGCCCTTTTCTTTTGCACAGTGATAGCCTTTGACGAGCAGAAGAAGTAATGTTCGGTTAGGTGAACATCCCGCTTTTTGGCTAATAAAAACAACTAACTTTACAAAATAAGATCTCATAGATTGTGCAATTCAAGAACCTAGTCAATGTCTCGACAAAACTAGTAACACCATCTATAGCGAAAACCAAGAGAAAGGAAACCATGCATAAAATCACCCAAAATTTTAAGTTCTGCGATTTATGGTTCTATTCACTCCGGAATCATCTTTCTTCTCTCTACCAAGATGTTTCCAGACTAATCTTGCATCATCATTATTCAACCGTTGGAATTTGTTCGTGCCCGTGTCCCTCGTTTCATGTCATCTTTCCTCTCTCCCTTTCTCTTTCTTCCGTGCTAAAAAGCTTTTATCCATTGCCACAACGGTCATGAAATTGTGGGCCGTGGCTGCAAAATCTGCCAGCTTAGATGCGTGGCCCACCACCCTCTCTCCGCCAACCTTTTCGAAGGCAACCCCTCGTTTTTGGCATGGTCTTATCTCGAAAGAATTCCGAGGACACCAACTCCGTCGATTACAATTATAGTTCTGTCTTGGAGATGGGACAGACGATTCCCCCCCCCCGTCTTTCGAGAAAGGGGGCCTTTTGCTCTCGTTCCATTTTTGAGGTGACGATACTGACCTTATCGTTATCCTTAGCCCCCCCCCCCCCCCCTCCCCCTGCGCTTAATCTCTGTCTTTCCTTCCAAGACAGTACGTGCTTTGGACAGAACAACGAGATGGAACTGGCCATTGTCATTTACCTACTCGCTCTTTTGCTTCTTTGCATCTCTTTTGCTGTGGCGGGAAACTTGGCGGGAGGGTTCTTTATTCGCAAGCGAAAAGAGCCCTGTTGCGTGCTGGTTCTTGTGCCTTGCTTGAAGAATCGAGATGGGCGGTATGCTTGTATTGTAAGTGCGACGAAAATAGAAGAGCGAGACAGTTCTGTTTAACTAACCAGTTTACCACAACTCTAGAAGCGGGGTTGCGAGTTCGATTCCTGTCGAGAGATGTGCGCGACGCACTGACCAAGAAGTTATTTCTGTATGTTGAGTGATGTTGCCTAGGGACTTATGAATTTTGTTATAAAGGATGAGCCTCGGAAAACACATTGTGATCATAGAAAAAAAAAAATTCTACCGACTCTTATGGGACTACTGTCTATTATACCAGGTCAATATGTACTCATCGGCGGTGACCTGTGGACAATGTCATGAACATCAGAGCACGTTCATCTTCGGCATGGTATCGAGCATGGAGGTTTTTAGTATTGAACCGCGATTTCGCTAATTTCATTGGACTGTTCTCTCGCTCTTGCTCGTTAAGCCGACAGATCGCCCACGTAGCTTTTGGGAGGCGCATGCAAGTTTTTAAATTTGCTGCATTAATTTCGAAACAATGTTCGATCCCTAGATGAACTTTTCACTGCGTCCAAGGACACGAAAGAACCAAAAACCTTGGAACCTAGCTATGCTCGGCTCGCCAAATTTTCAAAGAGCAAGACAAAGTCTGAGGGTACGACACCACAGTTTTTTTTTTTTTTTTGGTCGAAAGTACGATACCACAGTTCGCGAGGTCGATTATCCAGCGTTGTTAAGCGAAGACGTCGAAGTACAAAAGCATCGCAATTTTTTTTGTTCATTTTTGGGCCAAATACAACCATGACAATTGGTCCCCCAAAGAAGGTACAAGCATCATAAACACAAAGCCTCTACTTCAGTAACAAAACAGCCAGGAAATGATTAAAAAAAGAAAGGACAGTACAGTACAGCACAGCACAGCTGATATAGCAGGGACTCCAGTACTAGTAGCACTGCACTCCCGAACGATTTGTTTGGCTTGGTATAAAGCAAAAGCATAGACACGAGTTATCGCCAATGCATTATGATTTCCTAGTGGTGGAATATATAACATTGTATCTTCCTCACCGCTCAACCTAACAGCGGAGCAAAACCAGCGGTCCTATGTATTCTCAGTAGATTTTCTTTGCTAGTGCCACTAACGTGAAAATGCAAACACAACAAACACCTTTACACGCTTGCATGCTACGCACAGAGATAAGCGAGAACTGGAGAAACTGATGTGTACACTAACCTCAGCAAATACAGCATGGAGTCAAAGATAGTTCAGGAAATAAGAGCAGCCTGGTAGCATCTGTTGTTCATGTCCGAGATTTAACGAAAAAAATACTTCCCCATATGAAAGACTAACTAGACTTTAACATCACCGACAAAATTGCACCTACTTCAACTGTTGGCCGCAACGAAGGCAATCAGCCGCTTGATTGATACATTACTGTTGCAAATTAACATATATAATCAGTGGAAAGATTAGTTGCCTAGATTTGCTTGGGAAGCAAGTCATACGACATAAAATAGAGCTTACCATGCAGACGAACTCCCCAAAAACGTCATGCACGCACTACGAGTGTCACAATCCAGTGAATCTGTCATACAAGAGTGTGTAAGTTCACAGGGAAAAGGGTTTTTTCGTCTAGCTAGTGACATGAATAAACTTTATCTGCTACTACAAATTTTACTTCTCCGCACGCAAGAATGCAACTGCAAACAATGTATATGGTGTGTCCTGAATGTAGCAGAAAATACTTATTGTCACTCACAATGTTATTTTCAGGGACCTTCCAATAAAATCCCTGAAGGGCTATAACTGCAACATTTGAAGTTACGAGAACGAAGATGCTCAGAGAATGCTTTCCCATCCACTCTAACAAAGAAGTCAACAACCTGTAACCATGAACATCCACCTGTCCAAACAGATAGGACATGAAGTTTGAAAAGGTACAACAGCACTTTGAACGAAGTATTGTTCGGGTTAGTGTAAAATTCATCAGAAATGTGTCTTATGAGTCATGATAAGTATTCAGATATGGTAACACTTGTTGCATCACAGATGCCCTATTCACAAAGTTTGAATTATAGAAATCACATATAACCACATTTCCTTCCTCCACCCAAAAAGGGAAAAAAAAACTCACCAGCAGATATAAAGCACAAAATGTGAGTCCCGCAGCTGAAGAAGTAATCAACATGTAGCTGATCGTATACAGCGATTTGTTCACTGGAACTCCTGTGATGACAGAGACTTTCCCAAATTAGAAAGCACAGTTATTTAGTGCCATCTCATTCATAAAGAAAAAAATTGTTTCAGCAGGTGAGCGTCCTGTGCATCAGAACTTACTGAAGGGTCCTAATTTTATGTACAGTTCACTTAAACATAAGTTCAAATGTTTTCTATCTAGTTAGTTCGGAGAAGCATACACCATTTAATAAATTTCATACCTACTAAAGCAAGGACAATCCCTGGGCCAAACAATGAAGCTGAAAACAGGAACCAGTTGTCTAATCTCCTTTTAGGTTCCTGACAAACACGCAAACAAAAATTGCTGATCAAATACACACTTAAAAAAATTACAAGCTCTAGAATCTCCCAAGAAACTATCATCATCAACTGGATTTCAGACCCTTTACAGGCCCTCAACATGCTTACCCAAAGGAACGGCTAATAAACACAGAACAATTAGAAATTGACACCAAGAAAAAGGTTAATGGGACATATAACAATAACGTCTACTGTATTGAAGAAATACAAGAGATGTGATGAGGAATAGAAAGTATACTAAGCAACGGATGTGCGCCTTACCCATACATTTGCTAGGACATGACCATATTGGAGTCCAATAATGCAAGTTACGGCAGCAGTTAGGGAGCTGTCAGTAAGAGATGATAATGTAAATAGGACATCGCAGAACTGTGATGGAGAAAGGATGCACATAAGGACATCTCTAAAATGGATCAGATGCAAGATCTACCAAGTATTGTTTACCTCGGTGTAAGCAACTAATTGTGTAACTGTAAGGAAGAGAAACTGAAGAAGATAATAGGGTAACCAAACAAGTTCAAATTTTATATTCTTAACGACATCTAGTAGACCTAAAGATTGTTGAACTGACTTGTGAATTTTCTCTTATAGCTTCATTAGTTAGCCACGTTATTGGTTACTCTAATGCATAATCCTTCTCTAAAGTGCCTTACCATTTCTCCCAGTAGTCAAGCTACTAAATATTCGACCTAGCACCTACCATCACTAAATGGGAAAAAAGGAATTTGCCAACTTGGGATGAAGTTTCGGTTTTTCAAGCGCAGATTGCTCCTTCGCAAGCCTTGCATACACTCGTCAACAGCTTTTCAAAAAACAAACCAGTTTTTTTATGTTGCCATGTGTTGAGTATTACTAAGATATATGGTTGCATATGGGAAATGGAATAGCCCGTCATAACAAAAGGCCGACATTGAGGTAAATGCTAAGACATAACATGATGACACAGTATACAAGACCACTATAACAGGATACACCAGAGAGGAAAGTTGAGCACCTTAAAATACCTTCAGGGTCAAAAGGAGCATGGCACCATGATGGTGAATTCTCAGAAACTTGGCCACCGGTAGACATGTTACAGTCCTGTATTTAAATATCAGAATAAGGCAATAATGCACATTATAATTAAGTATTCAAAATAGCATCAGCAGGCAGATACCTTCAAATTCCGGTAGACCGGTTTCGCATAAAGATGATTAATGCCAATAACATATCGATCAATCATTCCAGCTGCATTGCAAGCTGGTCCAAGATCACCTCTGACAGAGCAATTCACCTGTGTAAGACATAGCCAAGGTAATGTAAGAAATGGTCATAGCAGAAAATCCAGTGAATCGCTACTTTCTTGAAAGGTTGATTCGGCAAAGGAACATGCTTTCACTTCTATCGAGTAATTGTCTACTCTCTGTATGCACCCAGTCTGAAAGAGTCATAACCAGAATAGAGATTTATGCTGCTTGTAAAGGTGCATTTTTCCACCCAAGTCGCATATAGAACTCTGACAAGATGTAGTATACAGGCTTGAAGGAAAAAAGAAAAACTTACACAGACAATCAGCTAGTCAAACTTAAACTGGTCTAGACAAGATATGGACCTCTACTCTTGACAAAAGCTGGAAAATAATTTCAAGACACAGCAGGGACATTAGGGGCTGTTTGTTTAGAGAAAAGTTTTCATATATCCATTTTCATTTACAATTGAGAAGGAAAATCACATGAAAATGTTTTTGGTGCATTTCGAAAGGGGTGTTTTCCTTTTCACAGTGAGAAGAGTGAAAACAGCTTTTAGTTGTTTTGACTTTTCTTAACTCACACAAAAAAAGGGCTTTTTCTGTCGATCTCTCTCCTCTTCAATAATTCATCTTTTTATTCAGAATTCTAAAACTATCCATTGCATGATAAAGCTTCACTTGAAGTACAGGAGCTTCAAGCTTCAATAAAATTGTAGATCCGCTTCAACCAATGAAGCTTTCAAATATGACGAAAAGCGAACATGTTTTCGCCTACCAACGGGCCCCCAGTGACATGACTCCAAAAGTTTGTTTCAATTACCATTTTACAAGCTAAAAGATTCCCCACAACCCAATAAAGCTATTTTTAAGTGCGAGAATGTATTGTATGACTCTGTGAGGCAAAAGCATAAAATCCACTAATGCAGGTCTTGCCAGGAGACAAAAGCATGTAATAAGTAGTAGAACTCTTCGTCCAGATAAGTTGCTTCACCACTATGGATAAGCACAGACCCTAAACTACCAAACCTGCTTGCAAGAAATGGCCTAATGATGAAAAGGTTTCAATGAAATTTATTTCACTATTAATGAATTGATGAAACTGGATAAGACAAACAAATGTCCATGTGTTAAGCTGGAAGCGTCTCACTACAGGGAAGGGAAAGAGAAGAAAGTAGAAAAGGGCTAAGCATGCTCTCACCGAGTAAAAAGTGCTAGCATCCGTTGCCAGCAAAGAATCTGGTAAGGATGAAACCTCGAACTGCCAATCTGGAACATACAAACCATATGATAAAGCCACGTATATCACTGAAAGAAATATTGCAAGAGACCTGCAAGACACATGGCAAAGTTACTTCACATTTAAGAAATTAAACTGTGCTTCTTAACAAAAAAAGAAGGGCAGAAAAATATAGAGAGAAAGTTGACAGACAGAAAATTTTCTGAGGCCCAATCAACCCACATCTCTATAGGACACTGATATTGCTATTTAAATCCAACTGTCTGCTCTTATTCTACATTGATTGCAAACTATATGTCCGGGTAAGAGGCTACATCAGCCAATTGATCTATGTCAAGTAGATTGACCAAGTTGTAAAATCCACATGCTGATTGGGGGCAGGCCATTTGTAAGCTTGCTATTCTAACTAATGCAGGAATGAGTATATTCAATGTTCAGGAAGATGCATTTGTCCCCAAAGTACCAAATTGGCATTCTTTCATTTGTAAGAGAAACAACTTTTGTGGCAATATATTTCTTATGAAGATTTGCTAACCGATTACATAACTTTCAAACTAGCAGCAGCAAAGTCGAAGTGTACAGTTATTAACCAGATGAATTGCTATCTCCCAAAAGTAGCTAAATATTGCTAGCACATGGCCTTACTAAAGAATTGCAAATGCCACTCTATTCCGCATATCTTGGAATATGAATATAATTTATAGTTATAATGAAGAAAATTTTCGTCTGTGAAGGAATTGTGAGCTGGTAAAAGGACATGACCATAAAATCTAAAGAATGGACCTTACCAATGCCAATAATAATTCTTTACGAAATGCCATTGTTGCCATGTCCTTTGTGAAAGCCAAATCTCGCAGAGAGCCGTGACAATGTAGCCAATGGAGATTCTCTGATATTGATGGTAATTGAAAATAATGCTCCCTCATTAGCATTTCCTTCGAAAATATGCTTTACAGAGGCTATGTTCTTAGACTTATTTTACCACAAGCATTGTGATCAATGAATACAAACGGCTTTAATTTTTCATAAATACGACTGGAAGACCTATTGATAAAGGAACTCTAAAAAGAACACACTTGCTACAATATTGAGCCATATTTTTCCCGCCAGCTTCATATATTTTTGAAGCAGTTGTCCCTAATTAACAGTCTATCAGTTAAAACTAGCCCAATATGGCAAAGCCAGACTCCAGTGAAATAAAGCAGTGAAAGCATTTCTAGAAGAATGTCAACTGCATTACAAGCGACAAAGTTCCAGATAAGTTCAACCGTCCAATAATTAGATCTGTATTATGTTTATTTCTAAACTCAAAGAATTATATAACACAGAGTATCCAACAGACAGACCTGCAAAATCCCAAACCACCGTATTCTTTCAACATCAACTCCGTATGTCAGGGAAGATATCCCATGCAAATAACCACCTGAAAATTAATCACATCATTTCAATGCTTTGGCATGTGAATCAACATAAGTTTTTCGCAATCCTGTTAGCACCCCTACAAGAAGTTTTAATGTTATGGAAAACTTCAATGTACCTCTAGCAAATAAACCTACACCTGCTAGCTTAAATCATGAGTAGCCCCAGAGGCTGTCAACAAGCTAAGGTATTTCCCAAAGTGCAGCCGGAAGCTATAATACGTTACCTTGAAGGAGAACACCCAGAAGAAAAAGTTTCGCCGCTTTCACAGCCGCTTTCCACATAGCTTCTACCCGGTTCGTTACTTTCTGGAATCATGAAAGTGGCACACTCTCAACACCAATAGCATCAACCGACTTGCATATTGAGGAATGTCAAATCCATGAATGCAGCCACAGACCATTTGGTGCAGAATTACTCAGTTTTCAGTAATTCAGCACAGAAGCTCGGTAATTTGCTTGAGAGAACCAATCACGTGGCGGGAGAAGTCAGGGTTCGTACCTTATAGACAAGAGCAAGAGACACTCCGACAATGAAAAGGAAGAAAGGCATCACAAAGTCGGCCAAGTGGAGGCCGTTCCATGGAGAATGAGCAATGATTGGGAAAATTGATCCGCCATAGTCAACAAGCATCATTAGCTGGAAACGAAAGACGATAAACACAATCAGCACTACTGCAAATTCTCACAGAACAATGCTAGGAATAAACAGAAACGCCGCCAGGGTCATCGGAACAAAGAAAATCAGCACAGTCAAACCAGAGTCCCGAGCAAATCAACAAATGCTGACTCGAGCGGAAAAGGAGAAGGCGACGACGAAACGACGCAAGAAACTTTGCGACAAAGCGGCGAGACAGTGAACGTAGACGTGAGATGGGAACTCACGAAGACGCTGAGGCCGCGAAACACGTCGAGCGAAGCGACGCGCGGGCTGCGCCGACCGGCGGATGGCTCTTCGCCGCCGTTGCTCAGGAGAGGGACCTGATCGTCGGCCATCGTTCGGCCGGACGGGCGGCGGCCGCGGCCGCCGAGCGATCGGAGGCGCGGCGGAGGTGGGAGGAACGGGAGCTTTTTTCCGCCGGAGAGAGGAGACTGTCTGGTGGTGGAGGGAGAGAGGAGAGAGAGAGAGGAACAGGTTGCGCCCGGCGATGTCGAGCTGGTGTCTCGCGAGGGGATCGGTGACGTGGAGTCAGGGCCCCACCATTTGGGCCAATCAGGGATCGAGTGGCGTCCACGCGCGCTCCTAGGTTAGGTCTCTCGTTGTCTGAAGGCGAAGAGGGCGCGTTGACTTTGAAAGGCCGTTGGAGGAAGGCGACAGGAGAGGTGCGATGCAACCTTAGGGACAAAATTATCCGTTGGAAACCTTTAGACCTATTATTTGCAAGGGTTAATACACGAAAAACCCCAAACTGATACGTTTGTGATAATTTTATATCGAACTAATTTTTTGATTACCAAAATTTTCAAACTGGTACACTTATGACAAATTTTGCCCAAACTATTTTTTTGACTACCAAAAACCCCATACCGGTACATTTGTGATAATTTTACCCCAAACTAATTTTTTGACCGCCAAAAACCCCAAACTGGTACACCTGTGATAATTTTACCCCAAACTAATTTTTTAATCACTAAAAACCCCAAATTAGTACATTTGTGACAATTTTACCCTCCATTATTGCCTGTTAAATTGGATTAACATCACGAAAAATCACAAATTGGTAAACTTGTGACAAACACAGGGTTAAAACCCCAAACCGGTACACCCTTCAACTCCCACCTGTAATCAAACTTAGCAATTTGATAGTAAAATTTAACGGAAACTAACATAGGGTAAATTTGTCACAGGTGTACCAGTTTGGGGTTTTTGGTGATCAAAAAATTAATTCGGGGTAAATTTATCATAGGTGTACCAGTTTGAAATTTTTTATGATCAAAAAAATAATTTGGGGTAAATTTATCATAGATGTACCAGTTTAGGGTTTTTCGTGGTATTAACCCTATTTGCAATGAAGATCATTATTGTTACATCAATTTCACACATTCCCTACCGTTTGAAAAGTGACATTTCATTTATGTAACCAATCAATTGAATATTGATTAATACGTAATCGATCAAAGACTGCTTGAAGGGGGCATGTTTCTCCACGTACAGACTGTGTAGACCCTGCCCGAAATACCTCGAACGCTCATTAACCTCCGGTGGCCTTACATCTTAGAGCTTATCAAAGAAAACGTGGAGTGCACATGAAAGGTTTTTATTTTTCCTTTGCACAAAGAAGAAGGCCTAATATCCTAAAAAACCTCAAATTTTAGTTTTTATCCCAAGTTTACCTTTTGTCTCATAAAAACCTCAAACTTTAGGCAATGTCTTAATATTTTTTGTTCCCTAAAAACTCCACAACTTTAGGTCTAGTCCCAATTTTTCCCTAAACTTTTTTTTGTCTAATAAAAAACCCTTAACTTTAGGTTCAATATCAATTTTACCTTAAAATTTTTTTTGTATCATAAAAAATTCTAGCTTTAGGTCCAGTTTCAATTTAACTCTAATTTTTTTGTCTCATAAAATATCGTAAACTTTTACATGAGTCCCAAATCTGCTTTCCATTAACCCTCCACCAAAATCATCCTTAGTGATTTTGCACTCAGTCTTCGATCTCATGTGCTTTATCTCGCAAATGGAGATCTTGCACTCTAACGCCCAAACAACTCGTGCTTTGGAGTTTTTCATCTCTATTGTCAATGAGAAATTTTGACGAAGGGTTAACGGAGGCAGATTTGTGACTCAAGTAAATTTTGTGATTTTTTATAAATATGCAAAAATTTTAGGGTAAAATTGGGATTGAACGGTAAAATTGAGACAAGACCAAAAGTTAGAGATTTTTCATAGGACAAAAAAAAGTTTAGGGTAAAATTGGGACAAGAACTAAAGTTGAAGGTTTTTTATGGGATCAAAAAAGTTTATAATAGAATTGGGACATGACCAAAAAGTTTGAGATTTTTTATGAGATAAAAGATAAAATTGTGACAAAAACTAAAATTTGAGGTTTTTTAATGTATTAGGCCAAAGGCAGAAGCGCCCTCGATGCCAAAGGCTTCATTAGAATGCCCATGGATTCTTCCTACACATCTCTTATTGGAAGAGAGGACAAGTCAGAAATGATAATCAATAAGAGTACCGATTGAAAAGATCGATGAGCTACCAAAGTATTGGAAGAGAGGACGCATCGGGATATGATCGCGAGTTTGAAGCCATTGGAGAACGGAGTGACTACGATCATGAGACAGTTAACATGCATTTTCATAAGAACATCCGCTTGGAAACAAGATCAAGGCATCGTCAGAACGTGGGTGCAAGAATTTTCAGAATGGAAGAACATGGGCACAATCGCCGAGGACCGCTCAAAAGCATATATGGTATAACCACTACAAACACAATCGCCTATCTACTGAGCTCTCGCACAAATCAAACAAATTATTTTTCAATACCTTTACTTTCCTACACTGTACTTTCACTTTTTACACCCACGTCATCGATTAAATTCCGGCGTATTTCTTAGCTGTAGATTCCATATTTGCGTCACCGATTAAATTTTAGCGTGTATCTTTATCCTGAGCGTTGCGTTGTCAATTAAAGTCCATCGTAATATCTCAAAGTTCTCAAGATGTGTTGTTGATTAAATTTGGGCATAGTTTGTTTTAGTTGTGAAGTCTGTATTTCCCAAGCCTTATCATCGATTAAATTGTGAAGTTTGTATTTCCCAAGCTTTATCATCGATTAAATTTCGACACAACCGATATCTGTACAGTCCTATTGAAATTTAAGTTGTTGATTTCCTGCTCACTTGTGATATTTCCTATCTGAAGTCGCCGCAGAAACTGTCTCCTTCAATTAAAAGCCGAAAAACGACTTTTGGTGAAAGCGGCGAAATATCTTTTTTGCATGCCCAATGAGACCACTAAAGCTGATTTGAGTCGTCAACAACACTCTCGGTGGCGGATCAGGCTCAAGGTGAGAATGTTGACATCCCAAGACAACTCATCAACAAGCAAAGGAGGCAGTTGGACCCACATTTACTCAAAAAATTAGTTTTAAGCTAATGAATTATAAGCCAATTATAATATATTAACTACTTCCCATCAAACTAATTACCTGATGTGAGACTTTTCTTTTAACACAACTCACAAGTGCATCTCAACACTTCTACATCACAGACTCGTCGGATACAAGAATATGCTGAAAGATCAAACCTTCCCTAAGTATTGAATCCGTGAAATTTGTTACTTGAACATTCGTCCATATCCTGTCAGAAAAACTCACATGAGAGTTCACTTTGCCAGAACCAAACATTTAACAAGCCGATGTCTCATCCGTAGTAAGGCAGCAAAAGAAACAGAACTTCACAATATTAACAGCAGACAAGACCCGGAATTCTCTTAGGCTTCAGTCAAATGCCCACTGGTTCTCCCTACGCAGCTCTTCTTCCTCCTCCGGTGTGAATGTGGATTTGATATTGAAAATTTTGTGTATCTCATCCGGAGTCTTACCCTTGACCATGTCTGCCACACTCTGGCAGGCCAAGTTCAGCAAGGTTGGAATTTCCAGGAAATTTGCCGCCTGAATGGATGCAAGGAAAAACTGATGAGCACAAACATATAAAAAGCAAGCTTTCACCTTCAAGTCATGTATAAGCTCTTTGAAGGTGCAGGTCGATTGGAAATAAGCACATCTTGGACCTTATGTTTGCCATTCATGTTGAGTTATCTGGGTATAAATTCTTGTACAGTATAATAGCAAAACATAACCAAATCTTCCCATTGAAGATAAAACTACTTACCTTGATTCACCTGCCAAACAGAATGAGATCCATTTCGAACAAAGCTAATGCTGAACTAGAATAACCAAACTATTCGAGGCCTAGGACCGCCCTCAAGGCAAAGCTCATGGATTGTGCAGATGATAAAAGTAAGATTTGTAGCAATGTCAGACCAACCAAGGCCCTCCTGACTAAATCCAAACCCGAATCCGGATCCAATATCCTGTTTGTTCATATGGGCTTTGAATCTTAAAGTTCCGAAGATGGCTTCAGGGGCAATTTAATGTTCTAAAATAAATCAAGAAATTGAAATTAAAAGGAAGGGCTTCAGGTACGGGATGCTTACAGAGAAAAGGGTATAAAGCTGCCTAATGGCTCGCCAGCCATGGAAGAGTCTCTGAGGCGTAGGATTGCATGATTCTGCAAACCCACCAAGCTGTGTCTCATCTTTTGACCGGAGACAAAGTTTTAGTCTAGAAAGTCTTAACATGCAATCTCCTTCGGCTGTTTTGGCCCTCTTAGAAGAGAGGGGTCTCATCATTTTCCTTTCACCATCGTCGCTTCGTCAGCTCCTCCGACTTCTGATCGTACGTTATGCACCCAATCGAACAAACACTTCACGCATTCTTACAAAGATAGAAAAACGAAAATTCCAAGATTGAGCATCGATCGATCGCTCCTCAGAAACCAAAAGATGCAGCAAAACAAACACTATGACTAATACGAAGCAGGACTCCACCGCGAAGAAAGCCATCGAAATCGAGAAACGGAGATGGAAGTACGGACCAGGATGTAGTCGAAGAGGGTGGGGTGATCGACGCTGACGAACTCGGCGTCCCAAGCGCGGAGGCTCTCGGCGTCGGCGCCGACCTCGGCGTGCTTGGTGCAGTACTCCACCACCTTGGCCAGGATCTTGCCGGTGATGTTCGGCAGCGGGACCGGAGTGCTGGCGCAGTTCTCGTCGATCATGCTCTCGAGGGTCTTGGACTGCAGGGCGGCGATCTCCTCGATCTCGAAGGTCTCGCCGTCGGAGCTCTTCAGGGTGATCATCTTCTTCGGGCACGACGGCGAGGACGAGGAAGAAGACGACGACATGGTCGGTTCGTTTCGTCGTTGAGAGAGAGACTTGCAGAGAAAGTTGTTGAGAGAGAGAGAGAGTGTGTCTGAACTCGCGTTGTTGACTCGGTTAATATTGGTGAAGAAGAATTTTGATTCCTTTTGTTTTCGCGAAAAACGTTTTCTTTGAAGATGATTATTTGTATTCTTTTGAAATAATTAATTAATAAAAAATATTTATTTATTTATTTATTTTTACAGGTGATACCGACAATCATGTTTAGGGAAATATTTTTCAAATTATTCAGTTTTCATGAAACAAACGAAGCCTCTGTATATGGAAATTTTCTTTCCGACAAAATCAATAGAAAGATGAGTCAGGGTTGTTTATATTTTTTTCTGCCTTCCGCCATTAAAGTTCAATAAATTTTAAAATCATGAAATATATACAAACTTGCACGCATTAATATTTATATCTTGCAAAAATAACGTTTTGCGAATTTAGAGAAGTTTAAATGTGCGATAGAGTCACAAGGTTTCAGTTAAACATAAAAAGTGAAATAAACCCTGACGGGCATCTAACATGTTATCCCTTTTTCGTTCTTCTCTAGCTTAACCACGTTGTGATCAGGCAAAGAACTTTACGAGTGATACATAGATCACGCATCTCTTAGTTATGTATCTAATTCTTAATGAGGTAATTGCTTGAGAAATATATGATGTCTTGAAGAATTACCCCCTCAACATAGCCTCTTGAGATCTGGTTATGAGAAAAGCCATCGCTTGTGGTCATGATATCTTCAAATTATAATTCCAAGGTGTGCATAGTTTAGGTGCAACCTTTGATCGAGCCCAAGACAATGAGAATGCGTGCAATCATTCGTCAGCTATGTTACCAGAGTTTACACTTCAAGGTGAGAATACCAAACTGCATGACATCCGAGCCAAATCTGGTTATGTAGCACCTAGTACAATGTTATCGTGTCTAACTAGAGAGTGTCCTTACCGGCTTCGGCCTATGTTGCCCATCGCAATCCTGCAACGCGAGGTGGATTTTGATAACGAACCATCGCTATGGGACATCGCTCGATAGTCACAATTTAGTCCATGACCGGAAAAGGGGGTACTCGAAGGGCTTTGCGGGGATAGATGCCAACCGTTACCAACATGTCCAGAGCCCCAAACCTGAAACACTAGGGTTTCATAATTCAGTCACCTTGCATAAGTCACCTAGGTAGTTTAATTTCTCTATAGCTGCTTAGGTATTTATGGTGTCCAGTCAGCCTAAGTCATATTAAAACTGATTGGTGCCGACTCCTCTATGTTTTTTCTTAAGAAAGAATTTGTACGAGTCAATTTAGTAGCCGGCTCAAATCCGGCATTCGAGATAATCCAAGGAATTGAGGTGCCCCAGACAAGAGATCCCTAGTTGCAAAATTTAGAGGTGTTACAGTGTTCAGATCGCATGTGGCGTGCTTGACCTGATACATGAATGTAATCAATGCACGATTATGCCACCCAAGATTATGGTCACTGAGGGCGCATATGCTAAACTCGAAACTCAAGTAGTGGAAATTTAATTAGAGAGATTTAAGTGCTGGCCGTTTTAAATGCTGAAAATAAAAATAAAATGTTGTTTGATCACAGTGGAACATAGAGTATTGAACGATCCTTTTCGCCAAACAAAGAATTTTGACTATGATCAGTTGGTTCCAGGCTTTTTACCAATGTTATAGACAAAATGTTGTTAAACAACAGTTTATCATCGGATCGATCGTTAGTATAAAACTACTAGTCACTGTTGGATGAGCGACATAGTGTTAGATTCAATTTCGTAACCGCGTTCTTCAATTGTGCCAAACATAGACGGTGATAAGTAGATTATTTTTCACATTGCTAGTAGGTCTACTAAATATCCCCAAAACAAGTACAGACCATCAAATCTGATGGAACTCATATTGGCTTTACTTCGGCTAAGCAACTCATATTCTTCTACTTCACAGAGTCCTCACTAAGATGCAAAGGATATGCTGGAAGATCAAACCTCCGCTACTAACTATTAAATCTGCGAAATTTTCGTTTGAATGTTCGTCTGTATTACGTCGGAATAATTCACATAAGAGTCCACCGTGCGCGAAGTAAACAACAGTTCAAAAGCCCATGTCTGATCAGTAGGAAGGCAGGAAAAAGAAACGGAACTCCTTCACACTAGAAACACAAGAGAAAGGACACGGGAATTCGCCGAGGCTTTCATTCGAATGCCCACTGGTTCTGCCTACGCACGTCTTCTTCCTCTTCCGGTGAGAATGCGTTATTGATATTGAAAAATTTGCGTATCTCATCTGGAGTCTTGCCCTTGATCATCTCTGCCACAGACTCGCATGCCAAGTCCAGCAAGGTTGGAATTTCCAGGAAATTTGCTGCCTGAATGGATGCAAGGAAAAACTGAGTGAGCACAGATATAAAAAACCAAGCTTCAGCCTTCACGTCGTAAATCACAATTACAAGCTCTATGGAAGGTGCAGGTTGATTGGAAATAAGCACATCTTGGACCTTATGTTTGCCATTCATGTCGAGTTATCTGGGTGTAAATACTTGTACATGATAAGAGCAAAAAATAAACAATAGATCTGACTTGATTCATCTACCAAATAGAATGAGATCCATTCCAAACAAAGCTGACGCTAAACTAGAAACACCAACTATTCGAGGCCGAGCACAGCCAGCAAGGCAAAGCTCATGGATTGCGCAGATGATAAAAGCAAGATTTGTAGGAATATCAGACCAACCTAACTGAATTTGCGAGTAGCAATGTCGGACCTACCTAACAGAATTGAGGAAAAGGAAACCCGTTGGCATTGACAAGGCCAAAGTGAGAACTCACCTGACTAAATCCAAAGCTGAATCCGGATCCAATATCCCATTTGTTTGTAGGGGCTGTAAATCTTAAGGTTCCAAAGAGGGCTTCAGGGCAATCTAATGTTCTAATATAAATCAAGAACTTGAAATTTAAAGGTGTAAGTTCAACAGAACTAGTTCACTTAACGAGGCAATCCAGGTTTTGCAGGAGCAGAAGGCGTGTTTTCAAAAGGGAGCAAATGATGTGGTTATACATTTTTCTTTCTGTTCCTCCATCATCGTGCAGGCAGGTCTATAGCTCTCCAGTTCGGACTTACCCATGTCCTGTGTTTGGGTTTTACAAGGATTATCGTCAAATGCAATGCTCGTTTGTCGAAATTCATCAGCGGAGCCATGAATCCATGACCTCAGCAAATGCAGATTCGCTATGCTTACAGAGAAGGAAACAGAGCTGCCCAATGGCTCGCCGCTCGCCAAGTATAGAATAGTCTCTGAAGCAGAGGATTGCAAGCTTTCTGCAAACCCCTGAAGGTGTATCTCATCTTTCGTCCGGAGACAAAGTTGGTATCTTCTTACGTTAGTTCATAACGTCTCGATATGAAATCTCCTTTGGCTGTTTGGCCCTCTAATCTACCAAAAGAAGAGAAGGGTCTCATCGTTTTCTTTTCACTATTGTCCCATTGTCAGCTCCTCTTGAGTTCTGATCGTATGTTATGCACAAAAGAGAGGCTTTTGGACAACCAAACGATAATCAAGAAAAAAGAATCAGATGCATAGAGGTTAGCACGCAAAGGATGCACCAATTGCCAAGTCCTAGCACCAAATTTGAACAGTAGTTCGCAGGCTTCCTAGAGACAGACAATAAAAATCAAAACTTTCCAAAATTGAGTATCGATCGTCCCTCAGAAACCAAAAGAGCAGCGAAACAAACGTCATCACCAATCGAAGCGGGAACTCAACCCCCAAAGAAAACCATCGAAATCGAGAAGAGGAGATAGGAGCACGGACCAGGATGTAGTCGAAGACGATGGCGTGCTCGACGCTGACGAACTCGGCGTCCCAAGCGCGGAGGGTCTCGGCGTCGGCGCCGGCCTCAGCGTGCTTGGTGCAGAACTCCACCACCTTGGCCAGGATTTTGCCCTTGACGTTCGGCAACGGGATCGGGGTGCTGGCGCAGTTCTCGTCGATCATGTTCTCGAGGGTCTTGGACTGCAGGGCGGCGATCTCCTCGATCTCGAAGGTCTCCCCGTCGGAGCTCTTCAGGGTGATCATCTTCTTCGGGCACGGCGGCGAGGAGGACGAGGAAGAAGACGACGACATGGTCGGCTCGTTTCGTCGTTGAGAGAGTGAACTTGCAGAGAAAGTTGATGAGAGAGAGAGAGAGAGAGAGTCTGAGCTCGCGTTGTTGATGACTCGTTCAGAACTCTAAAAAAATCAATCAAGAGTTTTATACGCAGAAACGTCTTCCAATGCGCTCAAAATAGAGATTAATCTGGTCGCATTTGTTAGGATTAGGCTCACGAATATAACGACTTAAAGAGTAAAAGCAAAGGCATAAAGATTTATCCAACTTCGCCCTTAAACTAAAATCACATTCAATAGAGGATTTATATATCATTAATACCTAATACTACTCTATTACAGCTCTTAATTACAAAAAAAAAAAGGTCATATATATATATATATATATATGTGACAAAAAAAAAATTATATATAGACAGCACCTATTCATTGACTCAAGCACAAACTACTAATAAAATACAACTCCAAACATGGACTAAAAACATAAGAAAATAAAAATTCACATATAGAGAGAAGGTGTGAAAGGATAAGCTAGACTGCGGTGGCGATAGCATCGCTTCCCAGCCACCGGCGAGGGTCCAACGTCCCTCACCGCGCTCGGGCAAAGCCGCCATCATATTTCTTTTCTGTTTCGCTGCTTTTTACGGAGTTTCAGAAGTCGTTTCTTTTGGCTCAATCAAGTCTTTCATCTTTGGCATCATGCCCTAGAAAGATACACACTTCGAGAAGTTGAGTGGTCTTTGGGTAACGATTCATTGTTTTTGTGAAGGGTTCGACCCTCCGTGTTGAGGACTTGTTCATTGTTTACGCAGCAATGTTTGAGGTGCGAAGATCTATATCGTCAGGACGGTCATCACGACGCAGTTCCTGTGCCATGAACGGAAAAAATGCCGTCTAATGGGATCGAATGACTGTATATGATAATACCAATCAGTCTGTCACAAGCCTCAGTTGTGTGCAGATATCACAGAGGGCCAAGCATACATCACTCCCATAGAACCATGACTTCAATATTAGGATCAACTGGATCAGAAAAAAGCATCTATAAGCTCTTGAATGGACAGAAACTTGCATCTGCATTACGGTAGAAATGGAGTATATGCTTATCAGCACTTCTTGCGAGAGAGGACTCATATGCAACGACATTCCCTAGCACTATTAACCCTCGTACCCTGTCCATCATATGATTCTCTTGGGAAGGCCGTCAAGGATTGAGCTTCAGGCTCATAGTTTTGAAACAGGCAAACCTGCAACGATTTACAAGACTATCAGCAGATTAAACTTAAAAAAGGTATCACCTTTCACTTAAGTTCCAAAGAGGGCGACTTCATACTTAAGGCTTTCGCATTGACAATGCTTGGAGATGCGGCCGGAGGTGGCGCATTCTCATTCAGAAACGGTTCAACTCGGTTTGAATCCGACCAAACTGGATACCCTTTAATCTTTCCCTGAATGCATAGAATTGGTCGGCATCTCAGTGAATTCATCGAGTCAAATGCGGTCGAGCAAGCAGATAGCGAGGTTGTGTTACCAGTTTACGTACCAGGACGTTCAGAGCAGCCAAGGTAGCCATGCCTTCACGAGTCCACTGCACAATTACCAGGAAAAGCCTTAGATGGTCATTGCAAAAGAATGGGCGCTGAGATTTGTCGTTACCAGTCATTACCTTAGAAGCGGAAGCAATGTGAGGTACCACAATGGCATTCTTCATGTCCGAAAGTCCTGGCTTCATGTAAGGCTCATCCTGCCCAGATCATGTTTACGAATGAATAGTGAGTGCATCAGCATATCAGTGGTGATGATAGTAGAGAGTAGAGATGGAGTTTAGAATGAACGAGGAGGGGTTTTAGTTACCTCAAAGACATCAAGACCAACCCGGAACATGGGATTCTGTTTCAAATGCTCCACGAGTGCTACTTCATCAACAACTGGTCCCCTACTACAGTTCACAAGAATCGCTTCCTGTAATGAGGGAAGAAATTAAATTCTTGCATAACCAAATTATAAGAAGAAGAAGAAGAAGAAGAAGAAAGGGGATAAACAAACTATAGTAACCTTCTTCATGGTCGCGAGGCTTTCCTTGTTGATGAGATGATAAGTGGTTTTGTCCAGGATTGGGTGAAGACTTATCTAGAAACACAATCCAATTTCATGATCCAATGTAGATCGATGGAAATTGATACAGTAATCCAGAAGTAAAGTTTTGGCAACGAAATCCCACCACATCGGCTTCCCGGAGAACCTCATCCATGCTTGCAGCTCTTCTCCAGGTAACTGGTTGTTCGCCCTTAGCTTTTAGAAACTCACCATAAGCTGAAACCACAAATTATGTTAGCAAAAATTAGAGTCTACGGATAGAACTTGAGTGGCATCAATAGATTAGTTCGCTACGTGCCTGTAACAAACTTCTCGAGGCGAGTTGATTGGTAAATATCATAGTAAATGAGGTTCATCTTAAATCCTTCGATCTGTAAAGGAAAAAATCACGATAAGCTAAGTAAACCCATCCAAACGACTTCTTGTATTATAGGCGAGCGGCTAAGATCACTTTATAGTCATATAAGATTAAGCAGAAAACCAACTCAGTGATGGGACAGAAACATTCGGAAAAGAACTCTTATTTAACAATAAAGAAAAGGGAAGATCAAATCCATTTTAAGAGTTTAGAAGAAAAATGGACTAATAAAGGGAATTAAATTAGCTGGATACCATCATTCTTGCATATGCAGATCCGATACGACCAGCTCCAATCACTCCAACGGTCTGCCCCTTAAGCAAATTGCCGACAAACCTACCACATGAAATGAAAAATGTGAGGATGTAAGTAAATAATTAAAACTTTGAGAAGTGAGGATCGCGATAGTACAGATGAGGGAGCCATCCATCGTATAAGCCCGCCCTCATGAACTCATCTGCCTCAACGATTCTTCTCGCAGCTGCTAAAGAGAGTGAAGCTGCCAGCTCTGCGGTTGTCTCTGTAAGCACACCCTATCCAAGAAGTGGACAAATACTTACATTGTATTGATAAGCAATAATTGGCGATCATAGTTTAGACGAGTTCACAATCTATAAGGTGCTTTGCTTATATGAAGAACTCTAAATCACATATACTTCAAGATATCTCATTTACCCTTCTTATGGTATGTCTAAACAATCAACCCTGTAAAGGTAGAGCCAAGGTTTGTAAAATCTGGTGATCTGATATATCTTTGGGTATTTCAGGACGTAGCAGCCATCACCATATCACGGAACATTAAGAATGTTCCCTCAAGTAGATGCCAAGAGAATCGTACTCATACCATGCTCTAATTCCATGATCCAAGCTTTATCAGTCTAATCCTCGTATTCTAGCTTCGAAAAAACGTGTGCTGATTGATTAGTACACCCCAATTGCAGCATTCTCCATTTTGCAACTTAGTTCATGAATCGCTATCCGATGAAATCAAGAATGATGACAACAATGCATAACCATTTCCTACGAGTGATCACCAAGCCATGAACACACTGCTGGACTAGTACCTCATCCAACCAGACAGGTAAGAAGTAAACAAAGGAAGATGAGTAGTCTCTCAATCAAGTGAGCCACATAAAACTTACCGGAGTGTTTCCAACAGCAACACCGTACTTGTTCGCAGCATTGACATCCACGTTGTTGTAACCGACCGCCATGTTACTAAATGCTTTTCCTCCTGCTCTGCTCAGCGCAGAGAACAGCGTCTCTCCCCAATCCTCCGTTAACTTCGACACAGCAAAAACCCAAAAACAAACACCACAGACCCATTTCAGAAAATTACGGGAAACAAGCGAATAACCCCAAAATCGACCCAGACAGGAAGGGATAGACAGACAGACAGACAGACAGACAGACAGACAGACAGACAGAAAGACAGAGAAATTACCTGCCCAATGACTCCATCGCACTTATCGCCGATGAGGGCGATGATGTCTTCCACGGACAAGATGGTCTTCTTCTGCGTGCATATCTGATCAAGAACGCAAAACAAGAAATGCCCGTTAACGATGGGAAAAAGGAATGATCGCTACATGGTACGAACGAGCTAGAAGGTCCCAAGATTTTCCACTGGGTTCAATCTACTACCTCGACGCGACAGTCCTGCTCGATCAAGAGATTGATCCACCGGGTCCCGGGCATGGGCTTCGTGCTGACCACCCTGTACTTCCCATTCGGGTTCCACACTTCGATCGAAACCGGCTTCGCCATGCCCAGCCTCTCTGCTTCTACTTCAGCTGTTCTTCACTTCCCCCTGCGAAAGACAGCAAAGCCATTCAAACGTCTGGCCACTCGTTTTTATGTTTCGCGGCCGAATCCGGCGGGACGCACCGTTTTTGGCGCTCGCGAATCACGGCCGTCGATCGGTGAGACCGTTGACCCGGGGTCTTCGGATTTGACGGCGTTAACCAGGTTTTGTTTTGGGCGATGCTGATTGGATGGATGTTTTATCTGGAATGTGTGATGCAATTGAAGGGGGCTACTTGGGCGTTGGGGAAGGTCGGCGCTTTTGGTCCTCACGTTCGTGCAAGGGATTAGGAGCTGAGGTGGCTTCGCGCGAGGGCGACACGTGTGGGCGCATCTATCCTCCTCTTGCGATCCAAAATTGTCCTTGTGGAAACCATTGGTACGGTGAGATTGCCATCCATGATCATAATTCTAGTTCCTAGATCAAGCTCTGTTTAAACTAAACAATCGTTGTGCATTGCTCTTTATATCATGATGAGGGTGTTTTGACGACTTGTATTTATGCTTTTCATTGAGGAATTTTGCCTTTGGGAGACCCTCTAAAAGTTTCGTGTGATTGGGTGATGGAATATCTTTGATTGCCCAAGTTTCGAGCTAGAGCTTTATTCCCTTTGATGTAATAAATCGGGTGGATCGAGGACCCATATGGACTGGGAATCGGGTCATTGTCTGATTAGTGGCGCCCGAACAGTTTAGCCCGACCCGATGGTGTTCGGTTGCCCGATGCCTCCGGTCCTAGGCCGAGGAAGTTTCGGCATAGCGGGCCGTCCGGAATTCAAAGCAATCGGGTCCGCCCGGCCCATATTCCTAAGGATAATGGGCCGGTCTTTCAATGCCAAGGCCCGTACAGTGTATGGGCTTGTCGTCGGAGCT